TCTACAATGGAGACAGAGTATATGGCGATTATAGAAGTTATGAAGGAAGCAATTTGGTTTCAAGGATTGCTTGAAGACTTGAGAGTTGGTCAAAAACACATTGACGTATTTTGTAACAGTCAGAGTGCTATTCACTTAGCAAAGAACCAGGTATTGCATGCAAGAACGAAGCACATTGATGTTCACTATCACTTTGTACGAGAAATTTTTGAAGAAGAGGATATTTTTTTTCCAGAAAATACGAACTACGGAGAATCCTGCAGATATGTTGACCAAGGTGGTTACAAGATCCAAGTTTGAACATTGTTTAAACTTGATTAATATTCTGCACGTTTAAGTTGGCGCCTGAGGGGGCAAATTTGGAGGCACCGTAAAGACCGTTTGTTAATTTTTTTTCGGGAGAAGATTTATATTTTTGGTGCGATTAGAAATTATGCCAAAGTGGAGATTTGTTGAATTCAAAACCAAACCTCAATTATTGACTTTGAAATAGCCAAAATTGTTGAATTATTTGGCACAATTACAAATCCCACATCGGTGGGTTTATGAATTGGAAAAGATTTTGAGAGTTATAAATAAGCTCTCTATCTTCTCAATTAAAACACACCAACAAAGAATTTGAAAAAAGAATTACAAAAGAATTCTTTTTTTCTTGCAAAATTTATAAGAGCATACTGCTTGAGCGGTTTTAAAAAATTAGGCAAAATTAGCCGAACTCTATTATCAATTTTTCGGGTGCATTCTTTCCTTATGTCTTTTATTTATTCCGCATTTATTTAGTAGTTTATTTTTCTATTGTAGTATAGTATTCAATATATTTGTCGGGTTTATTTGTAATATTTTATATGGTTCATTTGTGTGTATTTTTCTTTTTCGTATGTACGTAATATTTATGTACACACAGGTCTAATTGTGATAATACACCGTGCACGTAAATTATGTTATAGGAGACTGGGTATCAAGTGGGACCACTTGTGACCCTTCCAGCCTTTCTTGGGAATTTATTTGGAATGGTAATTCTGTCTAAGAAGATTGTTTTGATGATCTTTTTCTGAAAATTATTGAATCGGTTTAATCACTAGTTGAATTTTGAGCGAAAAATTATCCGATTTCCCCAACAATTACTCGCTTAAAGAAGACTCTTGAACCAGTTCTTCCTCGTCTTTCAGTGCTCTGTCCATATCAACTAAGGTAAGCACCGATGTCCCAAGTTCAAGTGAGGCAGGTGAAGGTATTTTCTCCTTTTAGCTTTATACTGATCATTTCATGGACTCTCCTTTACCTTGATTTGCTATTTTATCATTCTCTTTTGAAGTAGGGTGTGAACCGATTTTGTTATCGACCTACTAGCCAATTACTTAGTTTATTTTCTAATTTCTGCTGTTCTATAAACGACATTTTATCTCTAACTTGAAAGAATTTCGACTGCACTTCCTTGTTTGTTTGTTGTAGTATAAAGCAACAACCCTTCTTTTATTTGTCCCAATATAGTCGACAGCTTCTCATCTATGGCTGATAATTCAACCAACATCACTTCTTGTTGATGTTGGTTGGCTAATCTCAACACTCCAATTGATACCTCAGCAAGAACAAAAGCATCATGTCCATAATCTAAATTAAAAAATGAATTGCCAATGTGTGTTTTCTATGAGGGGCTAACTATTTAACCTCTCTACTTTAGTTTGGCAACATCTAGCAGGTAAAATTTTCCATATTCTATTAGTTGCCTCACTAGTAAAGTAGTAATTACAACTCTTCCATTAGTTTTATTATGATAAACTTTCACTGGTTTTATTATGAGAAACTTTCACTAGCATATTACTAAGTTAATTTAAATGCAATCTTTCATCTATTGCTTGTAAAATTTGCTAATTTAGCTAATATATTACTTTGGTTAATTTGACATTAGATTTATGCTAAGTATTTTAAACTGTCACGAACCTTATAAATAAAGATTATGAAGGGGATTTTCCCCCCCTTGGAATAGGAATAGCTAATACTGCAAGAAAATGACTATAAATTTGCTTATGGGGATGGATGTGCCATGTATTACTGAGCTCAATATAGTTTAAAGCACTTGTACAATTTGTCGACAATCACATTTCCTCCCGTTTCCTTTTCACATTTTACCTTTATACAATCGTTGGGGTTGGTTAATGACTAGGGAGGGCTTTTAAAATTCTCCTCACTATTGAAATTTAGGGTTCATATTCTGGATTTGACAGTTAAAAATAAAAAGAGTTATGGGGAGTAGGAGATTAAAAAAAAAACTCATACATTCAAGGAAAATTTTGACATAAAAAAAGGCAACAACTTCTCGTCTTCTAGTCACGCAGGGCAGGGAAGATGGATATCTTTGACTTCCATAGTCAAATCAAAACTCGACTATCACATAATTAAAATGTCTAAATATCACATAATCCTATAGTGAAAAAGTGTCTGACAACTCCTATTTGCAAGTTAATTTCATATTAATTACCATTTATCTTTAGAAAATTACTAGGACACCGAGAATGGCTGAGACCAGGGGCGGAGGAAGGGGGGGCCAGGGGGGCAACCGCCCCCCCTCCAATTGTTAAAAAATAAAATTTCTAAGTAAATTTTTTTTTTATATTGTTTTGCCCCCCCAAATATTGATAAAAATTTTCACTTTGCCCCCCCTCCAATTGTTATAAAAAAATTTCTAAGTAAAAAAAATTTTTCTTATATTGTTTTGCCCCCCCAAAATATTGATAAAAAATTTCATTTTGCCCCCTCCTAAGGACCCAAATAATAATGTTTGAAAGTTATTTGGACTTTATCCAAATAACAGAGGAGCTCGCCCCCCTAATTTCAAATTCCTAGCTCCGCCACTGGCTGAGACCTTTGTTTCATTAGCTATGATTTCTAGGAGAGAAGCTCTTGTTCAACTTCCCTATAATCATAAAGAAATAAATTTTAAATCGAAGACCCATCGGAAGTGTATGATCTAGCTGAAAGAAATAAAGCTTTTAGTATAATAATAACAAGCCAGTGAAATGTTTTTAGTATTAGAACACGAAGTAGATAGTCATAGCTGAAAGAAATAAAGCTTTTAGTATAATAACAAGCCAGCGAAATGTTTTTAGTATTAGAACACGAAGTAGATAGTCATACTATACATCGTTCATGCTTTTAGTACCTGTTCATTGAGTACAAAATTTTTGAACTTTTAATGTAAAAAATTCAACCCTTCAAACATACTTAAAAATTTGAAAGCTTGTCAAATGTATTTTATAGGTATCTCAATGAATTGTAGTATAAGTATATCAAGTATATCAAGTACTGTGTATAAGCATCTAGTTTAGGCCTTGTTTAATAATATAATTTAATACTTAAATCTAATTGATTTAGGCCTTAGCATGTTCAGATGTATTTGATAACAAAAAATAGAATATTTTTAATTAATAAAATGGATTTGAATTATCTAGGCGAAACTTACTCTAAAAAATAATTAACAAGCTATTCACTTTTATACTTATATATTAGGATTTCAGTATTTAATAATTCAATAATTTAACGGATTTAGATTTCAAATGTCATATTTAGTTTTATGAAACGGATCCTTAGTCTTCTTTGACCCAAAAATGAAAATAGTCAAAGGTCATGTTTGATAAAACTAAATCTAAATTATGAAAATTGAATGTTGAAATAATTAATTTGTTGAACTTGAGCGTTGAAAAGAAATATATGAACATTTGATTCCTTATACTAAATCCATATGTAGTGTTTGACAAACATCTAAAACTAAATGCTTAATAAGATAAATTGTACAATTTTGTCATGCTATCTTTTCATTATAAAAAACTTGTGATTTAATTAGCTTGAAATTGTCATGTATGAAAAAGACAATAATTACTTTTAATTAAATAAATAGAAAAGATCAAATGTATTATGAAAAATATTAAAAGAAACGCTACAATCCAATAATTCATCTAACATTCAATAATTTATCTAACATCTAAATTCGACCTAAGAAAGTAAAAAATGATTGTTTTGTAATATTTACAGTATTGTATTACCATTGAGTTTTGCCCAAAATTTGTATTTTTGTTTCGAATAATCCCATTCATTCTTTAATTATCTTTGCATAAAGTCACTCTTATTTTTCATATTTCAATGTTGATCTAATTCATTCCCAACATTTTTTTAAAAACTGCCTCCACTATAATTATTTGGATGTGTTTCAATCAAGTATAATTTTATGAATCGCCTAAATACACTTAGATCTTTCTAATGAGGTCAGCTAGAATTCTTTGATTTCATACCTATATTGCACATAGATAGACATATATTGCATAATGTACTTAAAAAAAAGAAACATAAAAAATCAACAAATAAGCAATATCACTTACTTTACTAAAGAGGGAAAAAATTAAGAATTTGAGAAGACTGAGTGAATAGCAAACGATAAGAAAAGTGAGATGGAGGAAAAAAAATAACATTAAGGAGTAAATTCACAAATTAGAAAAATAAAATATGCGAAACATATGAGAAGAGGTTGGAAATCATTAAATAGAGAAAAACAAAAGTTGAAAGGCATTAGGTTGAAAGTATCAACTTATTTAATTGGGAAGGGTTCTAAACATGGTTAACAAATAGAGATAGATTTTAAAGGCAAGATAAAGTAGTTAAAGTAAATTTTCTGATTAAAATAACAATTAATCATAATCAATCGTTTGATTTATAATTTTTACTTAAAAAAACACACAAGTTCTGTACCACTTAACATTTTAATAGATAAGTTTTGTTCACAGGACAACCAAAGCTCCTAATGAGCACTCTTTCACCTTATCAATTGCGCATTAAAGCTAATAGCAGCACACGAACAAAAGGACAGTAAAGCTAGTAGTAGCGAGCTTTTGTTTATAGAACCTTTGAAATGGTTCTATAGAATCTTTTTTTTTATATAGAATCTTTTTTTTTTCCTTTGAAATGGTTCAGACGGCACTTTTTCACCTAATCAAACCGACAGTAAAGCTAGGAAGTGGAACATGAACAAAAGACAGCGGAAAAGCAAAACGAGAGTACTCTTTATGACTGGGATGGCGGGAAACTGGGAATGTACCCGATACTCCTGAACTATATAAACACCACCCCCGCCACTTTTCCGTTTTTCGCCCTTTTAAAAAACCCCTTATTCTAGGGCTTCTAAAAAATTTCCCCTTCTTCCAAAGCCAACAAAATTTAAAAATTGCTCTTCCTGCTGTCTATCGATTAGTTGAAACCATTCCCAAATTCAAATTTGGATATAGAGCTGCCTCGATTTTCTCAAATTTCCTCAAATCACAACTAGGGTTTCTATTCTCTTCAGTTCAAGCAAAACCTAAATGGGTATTAGTAAAGTTACCGATGAATTGGTTTTGATGGTTCGATCCATCGTAGGCGCTGAATACTCAAATATGGATATAGTTCGAGCCCTGCACATGGCCAAGAATGATCCCACGGCTGCAATTAACATCATTTTTGACACTCCCGGTTTTAGAAAACCTGAAATTCCCAAAAAACCCGAGCCTTTGAATCGAAATTTGAGCCCCGAGCCGGCAACTGCGGCAAATCCCAGTGTGAATGGTACTGACGATCATGATAGCAAGGCCAAGAATCAGAATTTGTGTCGGGTTTCGGCTTCAAATGGGGCTGTAAAGGCTAGGATAGAGGATAGTGAGAGAGAGAGGAAAGTTGAGGATGCGAGGTGTTCGAGCTCCAATGGGTGTTCGAGTTCGAGTTCAATGGGGAGTGAGTGGTGGCTCGTGGGGTGTGGTGAGGTTGCAGGGATTTCCACGTGTAAAGGAAGGACTCTGAAGCCTGGGGAGGAGGTTTTTTTCACATTTCCGGTGGAGAGAAAGTCGAGTTCACCTTCTCCTGGAAAGTCTGGGGGTGGTCGGGGGCGGCAGGTGTCTTCTTCTTCTGAAATTGTCAGATTTCCACGAATGCTTGTGGAGAGGTACTATCGTTCATTGATCTAAGTTGAATTGTTAAGAAGAAAATTAGAACACAAAGTCATATGCTTTGTGTTTGTAAAATGCATCTGTTGTCCCCTTTTAATGATAAAGTGGTGCAAGGATAAGTAAGATCTTAATTTGCTGAAAAATGTCTAATTTGGTGAAAGTAGCATGGCGTTTAATATAGTTGTTTGAGAAGCGTGAAAAATGAAACAGCTTTGGTTGGACCTTTAAGTAGTATTTTTTACATATGTTTGTGATAATGCTAGCAGATTGGCCGCATCCCATATGAATGGGCTCGATGCTTATTACCACTTGTGAGGGACAAGAAAGTTAGAATTGATGGGCATTGTAAATCCGCTCCACCTGTATTAGGAATTATGGACAGCATTATTCTGTCCGTCAGGTATAGTTGTGATGATTGGGTTCTGTATATCTTATATTGTACTAATTTGTATATGTGGTTGTGCAGCAGATAGAGGGTGACAGTTGATTTCTTTTAATTGCATTATATGCAGCGTGTATATAAACAGTTCCATGTTCCAAAAGAGCCATCAGGCTTCACTGAAAGCAGCCTCAAATGATGAATCAGTTATTCATCCTCTGCCAACGCTTTTCCAATTGCTGGGGCTCTCTCCTTTTCAGAAGGTGACAATTTACTTTTAGCAGTTTTGTTTTTAAACAACTCTAAGAGTTAGTACGGTGTAATCATTCAGTGTGTATATAGAGTGTAATAAAAACAATAAGTTTGGTCATGTTTGACTTCGTGTGTGTAGTTCCAAATAACCGTTAAAGTGCTGAGTATGGAAGTTGTGGTTTTGTCATGTTTTTGAGCTGTTTAATGTCATTAATCTGTTTTAGGCAGAATTCACTCCAGGCGATTTGTATACGAAGAAGCGTCCATTGAACTTAGAGGTACATTAAACATTACTGGCTGTCGAGTTTCTTCAGAAATGGATTAAGTTTTTTAAAATAAGAAAAAAAGCCTTTAAGTTCTATATTTATCTGAACAGGACAGCTTTAATGTCTCTGCACCATTGTTGCCTATTCCTAAATTCAAGAGCCAATCAACTCTAGATGGAAGTAAGATGGAAAATGAGGAGTCAATATCTGACAATGATCTTGACAAAATTGTTGGTGTTGCAGACAGCTCTGAATTACTGGTACTGGCCTACTGGCAGTTTGCATGTGAATGTGCTCTGTGAAGTTTGATGTCTTTTTTGGGGCTGGGGGTTGTATACGATTTCTCTGCATGTTAACTATATTGGCACTTATTTTAGGAAATGGGACCTCCAAGTACTCTTCAGTGTGAACTTCATCCATATCAGAAGCAGGCTCTTCATTGGATGATTCAACTTGAGAGGGGCCATTGCCTGGATGAAGCAGCATCAACGTTGCACCCGTGTTGGGATGCATACCGGCTTGCAGACAAGTGAGTTAGAAAGCTTTGTTTTCGAGTTGGTGACCAGGAGAATGCTTAAATTCTCTAATTATCTTATAATTTGACTCATCTTCTAAAGCTGGGTGTGTTCTTTGCTAGAAGGGGGCTTGTTATATACTTGAATGCATTTTCTGGCGATGCAACAACAGAATTTCCAAGCACTCTTCGGATGGCCAGAGGAGGAGTATGATTCTGGATCTCATCTTAAATTTTTATTCAGTTGTTTTTCCTGTATTGCATTTAAATCAAGGAAAATTTGAAGATTCTGGCAGATTCTATGGGGCTTGGGAAAACTATCATGACCATAGCTCTTCTTCTAACACATTCTGAAAGAGGTGGTTCATTAGGAAACCAATTGACAGCCCAGACTTTGACTGGAAATGGTGAAGCTAGCCTTATTTCAGATCAATCTCCAACGGCAAAAAAAGCGGCAAAAATTTCTGGATTCGAAAAGCTTTTGAAGCCAAAAAACTTTCTCACATGTGGTGGAAACCTTATTATCTGTCCAATGACCCTTATAGGTCAGTGGAAGGTATGTACACATTGACTGCAAGTAGTGTTTGAAAAATCAAATGAAATGGTGAATTTACATGTAGCATGTAGAGTGAAATATGTTTGCTAGGTTTTTTACTGTGAAACAAATGGTTATCTTGATAACAGGCAGAAATTGAAACCCATGCACAACCTGGGACTTTGTCGATTTACATTCACTATGGGCAGAACAGATCAAGGGATGCTCTCGTTCTAGGCCAAAGTGATGTTGTGCTCACAACTTATGGAGTTTTAGCCTCAGAGTTCTCAGCAGAGGTATTTTTACAATCTCTTCGTTTGATCATAACAGAAGTAGCTAAAATTTCACTTGCAGTTTCCTATGCTGAAGGAAATCTACCACTTGCAAGTTATGCTCAGATTGCTGGAAATCCTTTTGCCTGACTCTTTTGCCCTTCATCTGCTATTGACATGATTATAATCTGTCTTATCTGGGATAATTATCTGACAAGCTCATTTAATGGGTTTTCCTTTGTAGAATGCTGATGTCACTGGGGGACTCTTCTCAGTGAGATGGTTTAGAGTGGTGCTAGACGAAGCACACACAATAAAGTCTTCAAAAAGCCAAATTTCCATGGCTGCAGCTGCGCTTGTTGCTGATCGTCGATGGTGCCTTACTGGCACCCCTATCCAGGTATATTGGGTGATTATTTGGCCTGAAATAAAATATGTTGCATTCATGTATGCTCTGTTGGTTGAAGATAATGAAGAGCACTTAACATTTATTATGACAAGTTTCGAATTAAGTCTTCTTTGCACCTTAAGCTTGGGAGCAGTAGAGTTCTTTCTCTAAATGCAGATTTTGAAAGAGCTTATGATGATTGTAATTGAGCTTATCTACCTCGTAGTAATCTTCAGATTTTACCTTTTAGTCTAATTCTTTTTCTGAATACAATTCTTTTGCAACAGAACAACCTAGAAGATCTTTACAGTCTTCTTCGATTTTTGAAGGTGGAACCATGGGGAAGCTGGGCATGGTGAGGTTTAGCTTCCATTCTTTTTTTGGATATTAGGTTTCACCATTGGAATTGTTTTTATCACCATTCTTCTTTCTTTAATCCAGCTATGGTTGAAATTTAGCTTACAATAGGATCTTTCTTTATTTTTATGCTTTTGATTTTGTGAAGTTTGTGGTTATGTTGCTCTAGGCTCTAGCTGAACTGTTTTATCTTTTGACTTTACCAAATCCTGTTTCTGTTGCCCCTTCAGAGATTGCATGCTGCCCTGCTATTGGAAAGTGTTCTAGTGATCCTTTTTTCCAAAAATTTATAGCAGATTGCCTTGGATTGACCAATGGATGCTTAATTTAGGTGGAACAAACTTGTTCAGAAACCTTTTGAGGAGGGTGATGCGCGTAGTTTGAAGTTGGCCCAATCAATATTAAAGCCAATTATGCTAAGAAGAACTAAATCTAGTACTGACAAGGAAGGCAGGTAAGGTTATCTTAGGAATCCGTAAATTCTAATATTCCTCCATTGTCTATGTTGCTTGCTATATTCCTTGTACTTTTATGTGTTTGCAGGCCAATTTTGGTTCTTCCACCTGCTGATATTCAAGTGATATATTGTGAACTTACAGAAGCAGAGAGGGATTTTTATGATGCTTTGTTTAAAAGATCAAAGGTATTTAATTGATCTGAAGCACTTTTTTTTTGGGGTATCCATTTCCCTAATGTTCCATTTTGTCCCATATCTTAAGGTGAAATTTGATAAATTTGTCGAGCAAGGACGTATTCTTCACAATTATGCTTCAATATTGGAGTTGCTCTTGCGTCTTCGTCAATGTTGTGACCATCCATTTTTAGTGATGAGGTAGGATATTTTCTATTTTCCCTTTGTATCCCTTCTTTAGTAACATATCTTATGGTTAAACATGAAATTTTGGTACCATGATTGTGCATAAATCAAACTAGACAACCCCAACTGCAGCTCTCACTATTGAATGGAAAGCTTAAGACAGCCCCACTAGCCTGCTGATCTTTTGCAACTCAACCTAATGCTCTAATAGCCACATCTAGCATGTTCACAGTGCTGCCTGATTTAGCTCTCCAACTTTCTGAGTTTTTTGGAAATTGTTTACACAAGAAGTAAGCTTTATCTGATTCCCATTATCCCATTGATAAGTCATTTATGACTAAGGATAAAGGTTACTGCCATGGTCTCCTAATGTTTTAGAGCTTTTGACCATGTGCTATTGAGTGATGGGAGATGTTCTGTAAAGCTTGCACATGCTCACACATGTTTATGTGAGATTTTCTGAGATTAGTTTTAATGATTCATTTTTGATGGGTTTTATGTGTCCAGTCGGGGCGACACGCAAGAGTTCTCTGATCTGAATAAGCTCACAAGACGCTTTCTTAAGGTTGGTCAGGACATTGTGGATGGGCAAGCTAGAGATGTACCATCACTGGCTTATGTTGAGGAGGTTGTTGAAGAGTTACGAAAAGGGGAAGTAGGAGAGTGCCCGATATGCCTTGAAGCTTTTGAAGATGCTGTATTGACACCATGTGCTCATAGACTATGCAGAGAATGCCTCTTAGCAAGTTGGCGAAGCTCTACTTCTGGTTTTTGTCCTGTTTGTAGGTACCATCATGCTTTTTCCTTTTATTTCTTCTAACACTCCTACATGGTATGAGCTTACTACATTATCCTCTTGCCTGACACTAATTCGTTGGGAGCTTGTCACATTCCAGAAAGATGATTACCAAGCAAGAGCTTCTCACAGCTCCTACTCAAAGTCGCTTCCGGATTGATATTGAGAGAAATTGGGTCGAATCATCTAAGGTTTCTGCACTTCTGCATGAACTCGAAATTCTTCGCTTAGCAGGGTCCAAGAGCATTGTTTTCAGCCAGTGGACTGCCTTTCTTGATCTATTGCAGATTGCTTTTTCTCGGTAACGTTTTCTGTCTTCGTTTTGCCATCATTTGTTTTCTAGTACTGGAATGTAACGTTCTGTTTGTTAGCCATTCAGTTAATTTGCTTGGCTTGTTTACCATTCCATAGCCCTTAATATCTAGCAAAAGGGGTTATTTTTGGTTTCTTTATATTTGATTTTCTCAGGCTAGATTGGGTCTGGGTGTTGGAGTGGGGGGGATTTTTACCAAGAGCATACATGATTGAAGAATTTTGAGCTGTCTGATCGTCTAGTGTATATGTGTAGAGTTCTTGAGAAATTTGTTGGCCAAGTTTCGCTTTTTGTATTTTGTTGCATAATGGTATTAATCGTGACTATTATTGTCTCAATCCGCTGATTAATTCTTCTAAGCCTTATTTGCCTTTCATTTCTTTTGCAATTCTTTCCCCTCTCCCTTTCTACTTTTAGGAGTGATATTCAATTTCTTCGTCTGGATGGGACCCTTAACCAGCAACAACGTGAGAAAGTAATAAAGCAATTCTCAGAGGAAGATAACATCATGGTTTGTCTCCACGGTTTTGGCATGAGGAGCATACTATCTAGATTTTATTTTATTTATTTATTTGTTTTTTGGGCTCACTTCTTCAAATTTCACTTAAACAGGTTTTGCTAATGTCATTGAAGGCTGGGGGAGTTGGGATCAACTTAACAGCTGCATCCAACGCTTTTGTCTTGGTATGCATCTTGCTGGTAGTCATGTGTACAAAGTCTTGCAAATTTGTGGAGAGCATTTGTCCTTGAATATGTTGTTAAGGAGTGTTTACTTTGAGTTGTGCCGTGGGGAAGTAATTATGGATGAAAACACTAGTATGAGTTCTTTTTATTCAATCGTCAGGCGGGAAACAAAAAATTTGCTATCATCAATTGGAAAATCGGTTTCTTGTCAGTAATCTCATAAATCTGCTGACTTCAATAGTAGAAAAGTAGTACTTGGAATTGGCTTTTGTTCCCTGTATATACACTAAGCCTACATTTGACTTACATAGGATCCCTGGTGGAACCCAGCCGTAGAGAACAAGCTGTAATGCGCGTTCACCGCATTGGACAAACTGAAAAAGTAATGATCAAAAGGTTCATCATGAAGGTACATCATAAAATCCTTTTGGAATTGTCCCGCCCGCAAGCCTTCTTTTGCTAGTTTGGTAGCATTCTTATTCTCTTGTTGCACTATATATATGTGGCTGGACCCTGTACTTTGGATTAGACATGAATGTGATTAACCTTTATTGGTACTCGGTAGAATTGTAGGTATAGCTGTAAGTGTGGTGAATACTCACGTGGACTATCTTGGTGGCAGGGAACTGTAGAAGAAAGAATGGAAGCAGTGCAAGCACGCAAACAACGGATGATTTCTGGTGCTTTGACTGACCAAGAAGTTAGATCAGCACGCATCGAGGAGCTTAAGATGCTTTTCGCTTAAAGCAGACAAGCCTGCTGCTAAGTTGTGTCAACAATTCTTTGCCTCCGACAGAGTCGAACTCCAATTCCTGGTTCTGTCGGAGTTGCAATACGTCAAGAAAGTGCATTGGATTTCATTTATCTCCTCGCCACTTTCGCTCTTGACCTATAGACTGAATTGAAGCCCAAGTTATAGCTGTTGAGAAAGAGATAAATGGAACGGATGCTGCTATGAATGTCAATCACATAGCTCCATCATTTCTCTGCAGTTCTTAGAGCTATGATCTGAAATTACTCGAGGCTGAGTTGGTGACTCGTTTGTATTCGTTTCATAGGTAATTATGGGGGATTTAGGAATTTTCTACTAAGGGCCATATTGGAGACACTGGTCAGTGGTCAGGACTCAGAAACTGATGATGATTGTTGTAGCTGCATCGGTGTATCTTGTGTTATTGGCAAAATTCAAAAGTTGGCCAAACTTGTAAAATGATTATTATAACTCTTAGCAAAACCAACTTCATCTTTATGGAAATTACGTCCGATTTACCATCCCCACCTGATTTTTGTAGAAAAATGTTGATTTGTAACCTTACATGATAGGCTATATCGAAATCTTGAAGAAGTTGTGCTCAAATTAAGATGGAAACAAAGATTAACTATCGAATCAGTTAAAATTATTTTCCACTTTGTAGTTGGATTTAGCTTAACATATGCTAATACTTATTTAGTCCTATATAAGTGTGCCAATTTCACTCTTGAGATTAGATGCTATTTAACAAATTATTAGCCCGTGGCCTTTTCTGCGATATATTTTTTTTAACATTATTTTTGAGAAATTTGTCATCAACAGTTTATATGGTAAATCGAGAGATGGAAGAATGTGATGTTAACGTGTAATTTTCACCTAAAAAAAAAAGAAAAAGAAAAGAAAGAGGAAAAATAGAGGAAGCACCACTGCCTGCGTAAACATACACATGCTCATAGGTGAAAGGGCAATTTCAGAGTAGTACTCCACCAATTAAGGTGAAGATGAGCTCGGAGGTAGCCGACGCCACAGCACCGCGCCGGAAGTTGTCGTGCTCCACCTACTTCGATGCGCTCTGGTTTTGCTATTGTACACCCGCTCTCCCTTCTCTCTCTTTGCCCTGCTCACTTTATCATTGACTTTTCATCCTCATTTCACAGAATTAAAGTTGGTAATTTATAGTTTGCTGATTATATGTTTCCGTGGACCTAAATTCTTGAGAGCATTAATTGGTATTTACAGTATCAATTAAATTCTATTGTAGCCCAGAAATATTCCAGATTCTAAAATTATCTGTCTGATTTTACGTAAAGGTTTATCATCATCATGCCTTTCAGATATAGATATCTCTTTCTACAATTCTTTCTTGCTTCTCGTTGTATTCAACTCCACAATCTGAACAGCAGTTTTATTTCTATTTCTATTTCTATTTATTTTGGGTGGTTGACTCGTTGGACTGAGTGGTAAAAAATTGTGATTTGCAGCACCTGTACATCAGATGCAGCAATACTATCGGATGGGTTGGCTGGATAATTGTTCCGCAAAGTGGAATGCTCTATTTGATTGTCTAAACCTCAAAACCAAGAGACCTTCTGAGCTGGAGGTCTGTATTATTTATTTTTATTGTGCATATCACAAGGACCCTCTTCCTCAATTGGTAAAAGGCCATTGTCATAGCTTGATGTAAAACTGAAAATGCATTGATTAACAGCATCTTGAGAGGCATAGGCATAGGCTGTTCTAACTAAAATGGTCAGGGACAAAGCCGATTATTTTCTTCTATTTATCAAATGTTTTCCTCATGTCAAGCTTGATTTGGCTTCTAAACTTCCTTTCTATGTCATTAGAGGATAATATACCCTTAAAGCAGATGCGGGTTCCTGATTTTTTGTTTGAACTAGGCTGTTGTATTGTTTTAACTATGAACTAATAAGATGATACTTTGAACATGACATTTGGATTCTGAAGGTTTTGGCTAGAACTGAGAGTAGTTGTGCTACAGAATATAACAAAATGCAGTAAGAATAGTAAAAGACAACTACTAGTTATTCTCAGAGTTCGTGTAATTTCCCCCATTATGTAGGGGAACTAGATCCCTGGTTAGCCCCAAGCAAGTACTAAACATATCCAGTGCTTAAATTTGTATCCAAAAAACCCCAGCATTTAGTGTTGAGAAAGTAACTTGGATGGTTAAAATACTATTGTCAGAGAGAATAATTGGTGCAATTTTCATCCCCATGATTATGCTTGGAATGATAATCAACTATCGTATTTTGGACCTACAGGTTTTAATTTCATGGGACAATAAATCAAGACCATGAGAAAGTTAAGTTTTCACGTACTTTTGAGCATCATATGTAGCTAAAAGAGGAATCAACTCTATTTCGTCCTTAAAATTTTTTCTTCACTACATTTGGATTGCCAATTTTTAAATAGGAAGTCTGAGTTCCTAAATGAAGGTTGCAGTAAGTTTAAGGTAGAAGCATTTTACTAATTGTGGGGTTTGTTGGATTATTCTTTGATCTATTAATTACTGTTTGGTATTGCACAGAAATTAAATGATGATTTGCTATTTCTTGAAATAAATCTCAAAATGATTTGGATTGCCCCTACAGAAAATAACAGCCAACTCGGTCATTCTGCTTTGTTTATTTGCCGCAATGTGCTTGAGACAATAAATCCAAAAGTTGTGCTTCACTGGACTAATTTAAGATCAGTACCATGGCATGTTGTTTCAATACTGAGAGCATTTGTTGAAGATTTATGCCATATAGGTGCATTGAGTGATGCTTGTTTTCCCTACTGTTTCCAAATTGTCATTGCCTTATTGCATTTTTGGTACTTTTACCAGCTAAGAAGTTAATAGTTCCTGACTGATATGCAAGTGTAGTTTCTCTAACTGGTGTGACAGTACAGTAAGTTGTGCTTCGTAAAAGCCAGCGTCTTAGCATTCCGTTTCTCCTTAGCCATCTTTGTGGTATTTTAACGACAATCCATTGGTAGTTAATTTTGGCTAAACAAAAAAAAAAAAAAAGAAATATTCAATAAGTGCTGTGTTCAAATAACATGGCGTGGCCTTGCTTCTGAAGTTGGTGCCTAGAAGCAAAAACTATAAATTTATCAATGCACATGACTACTCTGGAAAATGGTGGATTCTTTTTCTGCTTATTTATTAAGTCAGCTGTCATCATCATGTTCAGAGGAACATCTGGAAAACACTTCACCAGACACTGTTGTCATTAATGCTTGTACTTGGGATTTGATCCTACTATTGTTTCACTCTTATTACTTCATGATCTTCAGATTATTCTTAGATGACTATTCTTTTTGGAAGGAGTATGAAAAGTCGGATTATATTCAATAGTGTTCCTGCTTTATGCTTTTCAACCGATTACCAATTTAGTCTTCTAAATGCAGGAAATCCTCGAGAAACGTGAGCAGGCCAACAATCATATATGGTCCTTTCGGTCACCTGAAGAAGCTGCAATTCATTGGCAAGAACTCTTTGGACATTTGGATGAAGTTGAATGACGTGTTACCATCTATAGTTTCTCATTGTTTGAACTTTTCTTCTGAGTAAAGCAGCAACAGTCCGAGTGATTTAATAATTTCAAGATCCTTGCCTTCATTTGGCTGATTGATGGAGCGGTCCATAGTTTTTTGAGGGATTTTGTAGGTGTTGAATAGCAGTTTTTGTTAGCTAGCTCTAGGAGCTGTAGACACTGAACAGAGGGTTACTCTTTTCATGTTGAACCAAGAAAGAGTGGTAGATTCTGGTGAAACATGAGATCATTTCATTAAGTGGCTAATTGATTAAGGCTGGCAACTTTGAATTTACTAATCAAATCGATCAGTTTTGTTTGAATATCTCACCAGATCCAAGTTATTGTACTTTCTTGTCAACCCAAAAAAAAAAAAGTGCTATGGCTAATAGATATGTTACAGGTGAATGCTTTTGGTATATCAAAAAAGAACGCTGTATAATTTGCTGCTAGCCATGAATTCACTAATCAAATCGATCTGTTTTGCCTGAGTCTCTCATCAGATACAAGTTATTGTACTTTATTTGTCGAAAAAATAATAAAAAATGTGCTATAGCTAATAGATATTTGACAGGTGCTTTGGTATATCAAAATAAGATCGCTGTATAATTTGCTTCTAGCCATGGTTATCTAATCATACATTGGCAAATAACCTGTAATTTTTAGCATCAAGACTCATTTGTCTCACTGCAGCCACTGCTCCTATGACCCCCAAAGTACCGAAAACCACGGCTATGGTGACATTTAACCAAAAAATGGGGCTTCTCTTTGATGGCTTGAATGTCAAGTTGAAGAAGACAACAGGAAGGACAAAATCGAGTGGCATGAAACCAAAAGCTCCAAGCAAAGCATTAATATCTCCGAAAAAAGGAAGCATAGCTGCAATTGTAGTTGATATAACAACTGATATGGACCGCAATATTACCCTTGGAACAATATTTCGAACAGAGAATTCACTGCTCTTAGGGTCTGCAAACGTACTTTCAAGAACTTCATTTGTAGGCTGCAAGTACACCTGTGGCACAAGTCATAATTTGCTATGTTGTTATTATGCCAATTTGATGCAGAACACTTGTAAGAAAAAGTGCCCTAAGCTCCACCTTAACTTGTAGGAAAAACTCATGTCACTGAAAGAATTTATGATTTCAATTTGTCAAAAGCTTCAAAAAGTGAGACAAAGTATCATCTCTAAATCCTAAATTCCTGACTAATATAGACAGCTAAACGGTATAAGGAGAAAATTTATATGTAATGAACAATAAACATTGCATTCCAAAATTTTTAAGATCTTGTTTCTTTCTTTTTTTTTTTTTTTTTTTGGGGTTGGCTGCTCATATATTTGGGTTTTGATTACTCAGAGAGAATCTGCTAAAAGTTAAATAGTGTTTGGTCTTTACCACAGCAACAGCTGATAGTTGGAGAATGGTGAAAATATTGGTCATAAAAATGAACCACTTGGGCAGCAAAGCTTTTCCATTATCTGAGAAGTTGCTTAGGATTAGACTTTCAGCTTCATTGCCAAAGGCCCAATAGCCAGAAATGCCTACGGTAAAGAAGGTCAGTGTGACTACGCTGTAACAAACAGAGAGTCCCTTGAACATCTTGCCTTTTACTGGAGGTGCTAATGTCGCCTGTAAATAAATGATCAGAAATGTTCCATTAGGATTGATATACAATAAGTTTGTACATTTGCATGGATACCATTGAAACCTCTTTTAATCCTGCAAAAAAAAAAGTCATATATAGCCATCTAACTTAAATCTTTATTTGTTTGGCTCAAGTTTGAGTGGAATGAAAAGGGACCTGAATTTCTGGAATGATCCCATTTCCATAAGTGGTGGCAATAATGGGCCAGCGAATTGAAGATGCCAAAAAACTTTAGTTTCAGTGCCACCACTCAAGGAGTAGTTCTTGTTTGGTCCCTTAGATGAATTTCCTGAGAAAAAAATTATGCAGCCAAAGTTTATATACCATCTTTCTATCAAATA